AATAGCTGGGAGATCTAATTTCTTTAATGATGTTTGGATCTGCCCCACACTCCTCCCACATAGATATGTTTCAGAGAGACCACGAAGAACCAACCAGAGGGAAAATCTACTGCAAAGGATTCCTTATGATTTCCAGCAGCAGTGTCTTCTTCAGGACACTGCCACTTTTATAATTCCCGAGCAGAGTATTAGGCAATCCTATCTATACAAATGTTATTATAATAAAGAGATTCTGTTGTCAACCCCACAAAAACGGCCAAAACATTGAAAAACACTTTTTCTGAAAAAAATATAGCATACCTGCCTCTCTGGCACTCCTATCCTCTCTGTGGAACATCCATCCAACAGGCTTTTCAGCATTACATTTTTATGGGCCCGTCAGTTGCCTGCATCCTCTGCCGCTTGCTTTGGTTCCATCCTCTGACCCCTCTGTCACTACTGAGTCTTATAATGATGCATGAGTCAGCGGATGGAAACAAACACAGTGCTCATCGGGGAACAAGCATCCAAATGCTGAAAAGTCTGATGGAGGATCCAGCACTTGAACAAAAAGATGGCAGGAGACATGAGCTCCTGGAGGGGTAAATATAATGGCTCTTCTTTTGCAGCAAAAATGTTTGACAATTTTTTGGGGTGATATGTCAGTTAAAGTACCGCAGCGCTGAATACTGAAAAATGGCCTGGATGGGAAGGGGGTTTAACACCGCGGATGTCAACTGGTTAAGGGATTCTTGCACTATGATGGACAAAATCCTCCGTCTATGATTGGGATAGTTCTTTATTAGAATAAAGTTACATGGTTATGTGCAGTATCTGTTCCTTGTCATGCTTTATTATGAGAATCATTTGTTACTGGAATCATGCTGGTTTCTAGATGTTCTGCCAGGAAAAGAGCTGGTGAAATGACAACAATGTCACAGAATACCCGAATATAATATACTTCCTTGAGCCACTGTTGCCAGCACTGTGGTTGTAAGAAAAGGCAGAAAAAAAATGTGGTTATTGTTTAATTTTAAGTTTGTTTTACAAAGCTGGCATGACCCAATTTTCAAAAGCATAATAACTTTTAAGTGTGCGTTACTCTAAACATTATGATTTTTACCCCTTTAGGGCTTGTTCATACCAGACTGCATGTTCCTGCGTTTTTGGTTTAGCAAACTGGAATCTTCTAAAAAGGTCATTATAGGCTAACAGTGCTTGATTACACCAGATGTGTTACGCTGGCATAGATTGTAAATATTCACACATGCGGAATTTTTGGTTTACTGACCTGCATGTCTCCATTCAAATAAACAGAATAGGGCCTTTGGTTTAATGGATTAAAAAAAGCATCTAAAAGATCTCTAAAATATACGTTAGGGCTGCGGAAATTAACAATTAATTCCTTGATTAATCCTTAATTTTTTTGATCGATTACAATTTTTTTGATTGGTACTCACCTCTCTGCCGGCTTCCGGGTCTTCTGGGAGTTCTGCCGGAGATCTGGTGACGTCACAGACATTGACGTCACCAGACTCCTCCACCCTTCCCCAAGTGGCTCCGTCGGCTAACGAAGGGAAGGGGGGAGGAGTCCGGTGAGGTCGATGTCCGTGACGGCTAATGAAGGGAAGGGGGAGGAGTCCGGTGACGTTGATGTCCGTGATGTCACCGGACTCCTCCCCTCTTCCCTTTGTTAGCCGACGGAGCCACAAAGGCGCCATGATTTAAAAGTACACAGAGAGAAAGTACTTACAACGCATCAGCCGTATCAAATAGGAAGCACAAAAAGGTATTGTTGCCATGTTGCTTACTGTTACTATGTTATATAAAATAGTTCTGTAATGCTTTTTAAAATTCAGTCCTGTTGCTCTTCAAGCGTGTATAGCCAGCGCAGAGAAAAGGATTTAAAATGACAAAAAAATGGAGTGGATTATTTAATACCCAACCGGCCCATATACACACGGAAGAGAGCAGCTTGCAGGGGACATTCACCTTTCCATTTTTGTAACCCTCTCCTTTCAATAAAACCTGAACGTGTTAATTTTTTTAATTTCTTTGTATGGCCCCATCCCCATTACCATTGTTGCTTAGACAAGAATTCTGTATGTGCGTTATAATTAATCGAAATTAATCGATTAAAAAAAATTTCGATTAATCGAACATTTTAATCAGTAACAGCCCTAATATACATACATTACAAACGGCTTAAACTGCAGAAGCAGTGCCATAAAAATGCAGGCAGATGACAATGGACTGGTCTCCACAATTGACTGTAGGCTCCCTACACCTGATCTTTTACCCATTTCTGACTTTACCATGCCTTGTTCTGCACTCTATGTGTTTGGAGGTAACCAAGAGAATAAGGGATTTGCCTATGTCAGAGATGTCCCGCTGATGACAGGTGATCTGTTGGCTGGAGGGGGAATATTCATGAAGTAGTATGAAAGGTGGATGAACCACAGGGCCACAGAAGCAGGGAGATGCAGTACAGGTTCTCAAATACAGCTTCCTGGCCAGTAAGCCCTCTAGAGAACAGTGAGTAGCAATGTAGTGACATCACTAAATCTCACTGCAGATTTTATGACACTAGCAGTCAGACACAGCCAGTGCGTTAGACCGTACACTGCAGATATACAGCTCTGAGACTCAAGGCACAAAAGTAATTATTTTTTTTATAGGTACCCCTTTAAACGCCTTTACCAAATGATGTGGTCATCAAAACATTAGTGAAATGCCAAATGATCTTACCCTATTTGCTTGCTGTATGATTAAGGCACAAACATCTCCATCCTCTGAAACTCCCTACCCCAACCTGTCTGGCTATCTATTACTCTTCCTTTAGGCCAGGGGTCAGCAACCTTAAGCACTCAAAGAGCCATTTGGACCCCTCTCATTCGGACTCACCTGCCAAGCCTCACAGCCAGCATCCCATCAGATGGTGTGCACTGCTGGGGGCGGGGCATGTGACACACACTTCTCCTCTCCCGCCGCCTATTACTAGGGACGCGGCCGGGAGAGGAGGTGAGTTACAAGACCTGCCCCCCTAACTGAGACGCCCGTCGGCAGCGTGGGGCCCCCGGGACCCTGCACTGTCACATATTCCACCAGGGGGGTGCCGAGGACCGGACCTCACTGGGCCACCCCACAGCCTGAGGCCCCAGGGGTAGTTCCGCCCCTGGACAGGGAGCCGCAGCAGAGGGATGAGGAGCTGCAGGTTGCTGACCCCTGCTTTAGGCGATCCATAAAACTAATATCTTTTCATGTAAGCCGATCCAACCTCTACCTAAGCACTGACCTATTACTTTCTCAAATAACTAATTACACACAGCTACCACCTTTTGTATCACATGACCCTCCCCTTCTAGATTGTACGCTCTCATGGGCAGGGACCTCCTAACCATCTTGTCTTGAATTGCATTGTAACTGTAATGTCTTCCTTATGTTGTAAACCGATGGGGAAACTATTGGCGCTATATAAATCCTGAATAATAATAGTGATAACAACAACAACAAAATGTTTACCCTGTGACCATTTGCATCACAGATAATGCCAAACTCTCCTATACATATTTCAAAAACCTCCTATATCACAAAATAATCACTTAAAAGACAATTGATACAACTTCTAAATACTACAAGAAAGACAAATGTGCATCCTAAAAAATGGATTTGGTCTTTAACTATCCTGCCAGCTTTAGCTTTTCAATTAAGAACTTGAATCACTTCTTTCTCCATGCCACAGTGAAATTCCTAAAATATATCCATACCCCAATGTTCTTATATTTTTATTCTTTTACTTTGGATAGAATGTGGAAAGGTTTGAGCCCCGGGTAGGTTTTACTGCAATCTGGGGCTTCATTAGAGAGATTTCCCTAGCTTTCTGTTCTAGAACAATGTTTTACCTTAAAGGAACAGAGGGAAATTCTGTAACAGGGAAACCAACACCAATAAAAAGCTGACAGTGATTCTAGCATTTCCCTACTTAATGTTGAAAAAAACATTTTTACTTCTGTCTGTGTTGCTGTTGGAGAGAATTCCTGGCACTTCCTGTCCGGGGGAGAACCTTTTTACCAGGCAAGAAGTGGAGGAATCTCTCCACCTAAACCTCAAATGGAAGCAAAACTTGACACGTGTTCTAATCCTTACCTACTATATCCAAAACTACAAAAAATGTTTTGGGTATAGATATACTTTAAATTGCTGATATGTAGCTCTGATCCTAATTACGCTGCCTCTGCTGTTTATGTATTACAGGTACACCTTATGACAACTGCAAATGTACGGTATGGAGAACAAAAAAAAGAGGTTTTTGTAGCTAATTGATTACCATTACAAGGCAATTACAGCTGAGGAAAAAGTCTGAACATGTCCAATTACCTAATGGATAAGCACCGGAATGCAAAGATCATCCAAGACCAAGTCTTGAGTCTTCAAGCATACTGTCTAATACTGATATTAAAACAGATAATTTTAATCTCTTTCCTCCTCTCAGTTTTATTTTTCTTTTTGTGAATAAAAGAACCTCTGAAAAATGGACTTTTCCCATTATTTCCAACCCCATCTGATTGCTATTGAGGAGATTACTTCAGGCCAGCTTGACGGTGAAAAACCCTTCAATCCGAGCTTAGACTCCACAGTCGGAAAACGTCTCAAGAAAACCTAACTAAGACCATGGCGAAAAGTTCCTGCTTCTATTATTACAAGATTAGATTTCAACACCTAATCATATTTTAAGCAGAATAAACAGGGGCATATAGTATTACCGCTTATCAGTTTTACGTTTTGTTATTTGTGGTTTACTCCATACTTTCCAGGTTACAATGTGACATTATGTTGGCTGTATAAACACCCCGAGCTTTCAATGCTCAAACATTCAAAGGTTTAGCTCAGAAATTGAAAAACGCTGGAAAATTATTAGCAGATGGAGCAACTGAATATTTGACATCATAGTAAAAGTTCTGAGCAATCGGCTTGAAGGAAAAAAAAAAAGTTGGGTGAAGTTTAACAAAGCTTGTACTTACCAACCAAGATGATCAGCCTGTATTTCTCATTAGGCTGTCGTTGATACAATGCCACTTCTTCAAAGGTTGGAACATCTGCTGTATCATATTGGTCGCTCTTCTTACATTCGTACATGAATTTATTTGTTTTTCTGTCTTTCCTGCTGAGACGAAAACTTCTCCGAAAACCGGCTGAAACAAAAACACATTTTTCAGATCAGAACACGAGTAGCCTGGATGTCTGCAGTGCACTTTCATAAATATAATATTCATAAATATTTTAACAAATGTAACAGTACAGAAATCATTACAGGCCGGTCCGAAAAAACCCCCAGCCGCGACTGCTTTTACTTAAGTACGGTTTAAAAGTGCCGACTGGGAGATTACTTCTTCAAGTCCTGATCGCTGAAAAGCTGCCTATAAATGCCAGACAGCTATAGAAAGCGGCACTTATGGAGCGGCTGGGCACACAAAACTGCGGCTAACTGGTGCTACGGCTTTATGGGGAGAATATAAAGCAAATATCGGCTTCTTGAAGTGGTAAGAATTCTAAAAAGCTGCATTCAGGTTGTAAGGAGACTTCTTATGGTGTAATATGAGGCACATGTGGAATTTTTTACACAAGATATACATTTTATATTTACACATCTAATCTTTCATATGGAACACAGAACATATAAGGTAGTGAACAAAATTATGGCACATGGAAGACAAGGGTATGGAAATATTGCAATTGAAAGCTGAAGGAAATGAAGGATTATGAACAATCAGTAGGTACATTTTCATGTAAAAGAAACCTGGACTTATTCAGCGAAGAAGTGCCAAGCAGGATTGGAGAGGTTATGCCACAAACTACAGTAACCAATAAGAAATAATCAGCTGATCTGACTCAAGTAAAAATTATTATTTGTTACGTTTTACTACACTCAGCTCATATTTCTAAGAAATGCCTTACTGAGTAAGTCTAATCTTTTGTTTTGATATTTAGATTGAATGTAGCCATTAGTTTTGAGCCTAGGTTTGGTGTGAACCCGGTTCATCTGAGTGACCGCCAACCCCCTTCCTGCCCAATCAGTGGTGGCAGGGGCATTACCGCCCCTTTGTGATATATAGATGCAGGGTGGGGAATACACCTGCCGCAACTGATTGGGCTGGGAGGGTGGTGTGTTGGTCACAATTTTGAGTGGGCTGAGGCTCACAGTGATTAGGTTTGACTACCGTTCCAATTGCTTTCCAGTAACTTTAAAGCTGGCCAAACACCAGTAGAATTTTGTTTGAAATGTTTCATTTTCGCAATGTTTGTTCAAACTTCTAATGGTTAGTGGGGTTTATTCCAAGTTCGTTTTTTACTTTATTGACAAGGAAAATCAAAGGAGAAGCATTGAAAATGTTTATGATTTAACTAAATTATTACAGTGAGCGCTGGTTCACACCTAGGCGTATTGCATATGCGCGTCTGTTGCGCAGTTTTTTTACCGCGATTTGCGGTAAAAAAATCGTGCGACAAACGCGCGTTTCCGAGGGCTACTTGGTTGTATCCCAATGGAAACGCGCAACAAAAACGGCCCAAAGTAGTACATGTACCTTTTCAGGCGTGGGCCATTTTGTAGCGCGTTAGGGACGGGCTGAAATACGCCAAGGTGTGAACCAGACCCATTGAATACAATGGGATTTAGATGTTTGAGCGTTTTGTAGAGCGTTCGTCGAGCGTAGAACGCGCTACAAAACGTTCAGGTGTGAACGAGGGCTTAAAGTGATTTTTATTCAGGAAAAATCATACATATATTAATGTGCATGTGCTAGGCATAAAAGAAACCTGTCTGATAAATTTGGGACTATATTCCCAAGTGGCAAGTCTGGATTCTGGATGATATTAGTTGCCTCAATGATACCAAGATCAAATGCTCTAACCAATGATTTTGAATGAGTGTATGACCAGCTTAAGGGAAATATTCGAAGATGAAAACAATCAAAGGGTTGTATATTTCACTCAGTCTCAAGAAGAAGATTCTGGAACAATCACTCTAATTTTTTTTACTTTCTTTTTCCTTTATATTTTTGAAACTGAAAACAATAAGACTGATGTTAGCCATTACAGGCACTGAACGATTATGTCAGGGATCCAATTGGATGGAGCAAATGGTTAACTACAAAAACTGATTTATGTATCATCATCATTTAAGAAGTTTTTAAATTCACCTGCCATGGGGAAATCACTGGGTTAACACTTTTTTATCATTTAAAAACATGCTAAAAAATGTCCACATTGTTCCCTTTAAAATAAACCCATAATTTTACTTACCCACAATGTCCCTGTCTGCAGATTGTTACACAATTCAATCCACAAGTAAACCCGAAGCAATCACAGCCTTAAAAATTTGCCAAAATGTTCACACATCATCCTAGAGGTCTACATAACAAAAATGTATTTGGGCCCACTCACATTTAAGCAATCTGTTGTTCTGCATTATTGTGCACTTTAATGCGTGTTACAGCATGATTGCACCAAATCAAAAAAATGTACATGACTCTTCTGCAACAACGTAAGGTATGTGCATAGTGTGGGCTGCATAGTGTCATGCGTTGCACTCTGCTGTACAATGCACTGAAACACTGACCCAGGGTATACATGCACACAAATAAAAACAGAATCATTTCAGAACACATTAACTGAATACTTTTTCCAGGTGACTGACTGGGATAGTACTGAAGACTTGGGATCAACCAAGTCTTCAGTACTTCAGTATTCAACCAAAGAACTAACGTTTCCAGAAAGAAAGAGACAACCTCCATTCCTCCATAGAACAGGTTTCTTTAAAGAGACATTACTTTGCCCATGCAAGGCAAAGTGACGGTGTGTTTGCAAAGGCCATCACCTCCCCACCCCAGTTATACACGCCTTACCAGTGCTCCCTTGCAGCTACTGCCTCTGCTGCAGCCAGCACTAAAATCCAAATTGTTGCCTGTCTCAGAAGCTAGCGGGAGTATTAATATTACTCACCCCATCACGTGACACTTGCCTAGCAATTGGCTGGTAGCCCTGAACACTCTTACAGTGAGCACTGGTGAGTATAACTGGGGTGGGAGAGATGGCCTTTGCAAACAATCTCTTTGCTCTGAATTGCTCTTTAAAATGCAAACCTCCAAAGCACGTTAGGTTTCATTGTCATGCATAATACATTACTGGAACTGAAAACCACATAAGTCTCTATGCATAGTGAGGTCAAATGGCTGCTGTCATGTAGAAATTAAAAATAAAATTAACAGATAACAAAGTTCTTAGAATATTGAAAATTATACATTAACATTACCCCTTTGTTACTGCAATATGACTTTTTAAGTTCAAATGTAAATTGTCCCTTGCCATGAGAATGTTATTTAACCTTCCAACAGCAGAGAACTATGTGTGTTCCTAGTCTCAGACTTAATGACTAGTGTTAAGTGTGGGCTTTAGTGCGAATTCAATTCCCCTGAGTTTGTCCAAGTCCACGCAAAACTGTCATTGACACTCCTTTCTAATGTTCCAATCAGCTGCAACACGGGGCATTCTGCGCCCCCCAGCTAAGCATCAGAACAGAGTGGGGAATGCCCCTGCCACAACTGATTGGCCCAGAAGGAGGGGGTGTCAGTCACAGTTTTGCAAGGGCGTAGACAAACTCAGGTGAACTGGGTATAGACTTCTGTTGTAATATATGAAACTTCTGTTAAGTAACAAGAGACAACTAGAGACTAATACTGTGCTATAACTCACTGTGAAAGAGTTGTTCTCACTAATATCGCAAGAATAGAATGGAAACTTTCCAGCATGGTTTGCATACAGAGATGGAATTAATTCCCCATTTCTTACAGGCCCACAGTCATTGTACTACCTTGCAAAGCACAACTGGAATAATCTGCCTGGCCCAACCCAATACTATCCCCATACTGAGGGCAACAGGTGGGTATCTGACCCATTGCAGGACTCCGTAAAGCAAAGGCTCAGGAAGAGTAGAATTTAAACAACAAAAGATTGCGGAACAAATCTGACAAGGGTAGAAAATCGGAAACAGGTGAAAAGGGCTTTAATAAGCCAAAGAGTATTGTAATGGGAGGTCTGGGCTATACTGGTGCCTGTGTACACGTCGTTTAGTAATGCTCCACTACTACGGACCACCTTGGAGGGTACACACAGCTTTCCCCTAGTCATCATCCGCCAGACACACTTCTACGTTTCAGCATAACTTTCTGGCAGCCCTCCTATTTATCACTATGACAAACAATGGAAAAAATAACTTTCCACAACCTTGTAACGAGAGGAGATTATTATTGAAAACAAATGATGATCTTAAGATCACAAAGTGTTCCCTAAATAACAAACGTCTCAGGAAGGTTTATCCACTTGACGATTATAAATGAATGTTTGCAGTCACATGACTGCATTCCTATACACAGTTCCCAGAGGCAATGAAGAGCAAATAATATGCAAGGTCCAACACTTATTATTATATTAGCACACATCTCTAAATTATTTTTTCTCTATTCGTTACTGAGGAGAAACATGTGTTGTTACAATTCCAAACTACAATTCTGGAATCTAAATGTCCTAAGGAGGGCCACTCGTGGAGAAAAGTTTATTCTTTTTGCTCTACACGAAAGGGAATTATTAGCATTGAGTCACACAAAGAACTCAATTCAACAAATCCAGAAACAAAGTAATACCCGGGATCACACAAAACCTCTTTTCTTTGTGATGATCGGTAAATGTTAACAAGCAAATATTATTGAAAGTACATCATATGTAAAAATACCCCAGCATAGCCTCTGATCTGCTCCGGCAGGTTTTAGTATAACGGAGGTTCATCCAAAGCCAATTACATATCCTGAAATTGTATGCTACTGCTGGATACTTCTAAATGGTTCAAATTAGGGATGCACCGATACCGCGTACCGTACACGGTACAAGTACAGATACTTTTCAAGCTCCAAGACTAGACTAGAGAAAAATTCAAAAGTTAGGAGGCAGCCGTCATGTGTAAGGAGCACACGGAGCTCCTGGGATTTGTACAGCTCTGTTTTAATGTATGATTTGGTTTTTATAAATATAAATGAAGGGATGCACCAATACCATTTTTGCAAGTACAAGTTTTGATACTTGTCCAAGTACTCACAGATACAAGTATTGATACATTTTTGTTTATTGTCATGTGACAGTT